TGTTTGTATGGTCAACCATATAGCAATCCTGAGGACAAACACTGTGTAAAAGTTGTAGTGATTTCCGTGAGTGAAAGTCACGCTATGTCAGATAAACATAGAACAGGCAAGTGCCACTAAGCACAGTTTGCGCGTTCATCCATCACATAAGTCGCCCTGCCTTCGCCTGCGGTTGCAGCTGCAATATGTGACCAGTACGACTTTAGTGTATTTACTCAGCCTTGCTCTTCGCTGCATAACATCAGCATGATCATGATCATTGCTACACATTGCAAGAATCTGTGACATCCTTTGACGAGCAGAGGTCTTTGTCATGTCCTCAGATATGGTCGCGTGGAACGGTTCATCATATTACGCCAAATTTCGTTCATCGCGGCGTTTTGATAGAGTGGTTATCAGACAGACAGAACAGGTGTTTCACCTCATATGCGACCTGGAACTTGAACTTTCAGAGGTTAAATGTATGTGTAGAATTTTACGCATTCACAATTGAAATAGTACAGACAGGCTTAAATCATTCCATGCTAATCCAATGCTTATTCGATGACCGTAGCATGAATATCTCCACAGCATAGCAATACAAGGTTGACATGCCGCTGATGACCTAGCTTTAGTTCAGAAGTCGCATGTGTGAAAATGAGTGATCTCTTGACTTCCTAGTTTTAGCTCAGAAGTCGAGAGGTCACTCATTTCACCCAAATCAAAGACCCGAACATTTTAAGAACTGGAAGAAAGCCAGGGACACACTGGTGCCCACATAAGTAGTCTTTGTTTTTTTTATTTGGATCTTATACTGACTAAGGTGTAGTCTTATTAACGACGTGGTCCCTTTCAGATCATTATCGTGATCTGGAAAGCCACTTGTTGACCCGGAGTCAAAGGCCGTTGCATAGTTTAGGACACAAAACAACATGTCGGTTTTATTCTGATCCTGTGCCTGTCCTAGTTCAAAATTCAGTGGTGGGTCAGGTACCAATGTCGGGCGAGGGCCATATCATTCAAATATATCCCTTGAAACGGCGCTACGCTACAGCCAAAACTGGGTCATTTTTTTCACCAACCCACAGAAGGTTATGTTGTAGTAATGACAAGTTGTGCATCTTTGAATTTCGATCATTGCAGCGAGCGCTGGGAAGACCAAACAGGAACAATGGTAACGCTGGATACGAATGGATCAATGAATAGAAATGTGGAACGCGTTCTTTAAAGGAAACGCTCCACATTTGCATGTGATTTTGAACTGAACTAGCCATCTTAAAGATAATTCGGTGTAATTCACAACCCTGATTTTCTAAAGACCCAAACCCCTCTGGTTTCTGAGCCAGACTGCCGTTAAGATTTGCAGACTATTTCGGGGAGGCTATTTTAAGCTCAAACAGGCGTTCATGAACTCGTAATGACGTCATCAAAACCCTGCCATTTCATTGGCCATACGGTGATCAAGGCCAAACTAAATGTAATTATTGAGTCGTTCGCATCTTGAGCATGATTTCCAGATGTAACAGCCGTCAATTGGCTCTCAATCAACGTTGTGCAAGGTACGATGACGCGATCAAACGATGGCGTAGTGAAAAGCATATTTACTACAAAGAAAATTTGCATTGTCTAAAGCGGTCTTTTCTACTTAAAAGTGTACCAATAGTTATAAGTGGGCCTTTTTGTCATAACTGATGTTTGCTTCAATATCTTAAAATGCGGAGCATTCCGTTTAACGCACCGCAGTTATCTGCATGATTTCTGCTGCCCTCTAACGTCACATGACCATTGAAGCGACGCTTCCACCGCCCGTCGGCTATTCCAGCCAGGAACGAATGGCGCCACATGCCTAGCGTCACCCCACCACGTGCCGGTGCGTCGTGAAATTCAAAAATTTTGCTTTCGTGCATAATTTTTGTGGACGGCTGCCTCGCGTCGCAAGGCAGACGCCACAACCGGCTGAACTTTCGGAACGGACCAAGGTTGATCACGGGACGGCACGATGTCAAATATAGTGTTGCATGTATCCTCCGCCAAGTTGCACCATAAAGTTGCGTCCAGGAATGGAACCAACGCAGTGTGTGCGGTGGAATCCGGAGTAAAAGAAAGTAGGGTGGTGTTGATCTGTGTCTGCGAAAAAAAAATCACCGTGAGTACAAGATATCAAACGTTCAAGCTCCCAATACAACTAAGGTTTTTCCGAACAAATAAAATTGCTTAACTCCTACCTCCTGGTGTAATGAAGGTCAGTTGCTTGCAACTGAGGACGCAACCCATCACCGCGGAACACCAAGATCCAAGGGCATTTTTCCTTACATTAACTTCCCGACACGTGCCAAAGCGTTGGCCACGCTATTTTTTACGCTGGTCACTCTGGATTTCTATTAAGTCAGCAGTGTTTACTAGCTCTGCTCTTCCTTCCAGCTGTCGACAAGTCTCTTGGAAAGGTCGACAAGTTCAGTTTTGCTTTCACGCATAACTGTGCTGTGGCAGCGCATTGGGCAGTCTTTCCTAAGGTCTTGTGCGTGCGTGTACAGTCATGCTATTTTACGTGATACTTGTTTGTGCCTCGACCTACTTTCGGCGAGGAACGGCAGGATGTCTTGTTGATCACAATGGCTCGAATTACTCACATGCGTTTGCATGTGAATTTTTGATGATGTGAATTGCATGAAATGTTTTGGAATTCTAAGCTTTTGCAAAAACCGACTTCACGTCGCCTTGAAATGGAAAGCCATTCTTCCGCAGCAAAACCATTTTGGAGCGGATTGTTATTTCAAAACAATATTTTATTTAAATATCGACAACGCAAATTCAAGTGTAAGAAATCCCGGGAGAACTCAGATTTTGGGGGTAAGTTGGGTCAACACTGGTGGCATAGTTTCTTCCCTAACCGATTTTAGAAAATGGCACCCCTGTAAAAGTGTTCATTTCTATCCATCCTTTTACATTCTGCAAATCATTTTACACAAGGAGGTGCTTGTCCCTATACATCCTAAACGTTCTATTTAATTGTGTGTCACCACGTTGAAGTGTGGTGCTGGGCTGAGTTTGGTGTGTTCCGTATACGAAGACGCGATATTACTTTTAGGGGACATTAATCAATACTGTCGCACTGGTAAGGTACACATACGTTTTGTATAAACCAATTGAGCAAACTTTTTCATTTACCGCTATCTCGGGAATAAACATTCCAAATCTAGCGACTTAAAACGGAAAACCCAGGGCACCGGTAAGTGTGAAGAGTTTGCCTTCCGATAGATGCTATGCGGTGTGTGTCTGGTTTGCTGTGTAGGAAATCATGAAAGAGTTTTGGGTGTGATTTCAAGGAATGAAGCTGAAGACCATGAGCTTTTTTATTTTCTGGGCCTATTCTCTTATCAGAGGGGTGCACACAACTATCAACATTCTGGAGATTTAAAATTCAGACCCGCTTCGCGTATCATGTGGCTTTATCGGTAATGACCAAGCACTTACGGGCGCTGATGAGCATTTTTAAAAGCCTTAGTCCAATATCCTATGCCCTTAAGCCAGCAAAACACCTTTGCACATACCATATGTAGTGTTCCGAGCGTGGGCATGTCATCAAAGGCCACCAAATAACACCTGTCGGACCAGAACACTCCCAAGTGAGCGAGCGACGCTGTTTTTCGCTGTTCCGGTGGTAATTTCAGCGATCCATTTGCAACGCTTTTCAAACAACATACCAATCAATTGGATGTTAGAGTTTCGACCGCAGTGTATTACCGAATCCGTGAGCCATCAAATAAGGAGACACGCTAACACAGTGCTTAGCACTGTGCTGGCAGTTCTCTAGCTAGCGCTGATAGTTTCCTTATTAGCATTACCACGCGGCTTAGGTAGGAGTCAATTTGACTTTCCTGCGGGTTTTTTCCAGAAAAACTCACGAACGGTGCGACATAGCACACCAAAACTTTGTATAGTTGTAGACAACTGTGTGGCGGATTTTTTTGAAATTACCAAGTTAGATGCAACTCACAAAGTTGGTGGCATGTAGCGGACCAAATTTTGGCCATGGCTGCCGGCGAAGGACTTGCTGGAGAATCGTTCCAGCAAGTGTTATGATACCACAGCGAAGTGTTAGCCCTGTCATGCAGGTTCAAGATGCCGTTTTTAGACAATGAGCCAGATAAGGTTAGGGCTACTATTAGTTTTGTTAACCTTAGGTAAAGTGTGACAGTTCACATCAAGGTCAAGGTCAGGAAGATCACTGAACTGAAATAGCTTTGTCTTAACCTATTGCTTTGAAGAACGCGCCACCAAGGGTATCTTTCGACGCTGATTGTAAATTTTCAGGTGTATCTAGCATAGCTACGTATGCAGATAGCACCGTTGAAGTGCAACAACTGTTGAACCTTAGCGCGTTGGGGCTTAGCAACGATTACGGCCAAAACAATAGTCAGCAGTCGTGTAAGTAGGTTCCGATAATGCTGTTTGCCGCTGTTTCGAACTGACCCGAAATTTGCCAAAATCCTGTCGTACGTTCACCTCCGTCCCGAAGCCCAGCTGTACTGAATAGACGCCTCAGCAACCGATACGTTCATTTTGCATTGAGCATTTTGCAATATTTCACCATGTGCAGATTTCTAATCCAACGCTGCCTGTCTTCCACACCCTGAGACAGCCTCCGTCGTTTACATCGTGATGTGATATTCCATGTAGCATCGATACAAATCCTTCGATTCAGTGCACTGCAGAGCAACGCACAAACGGACCTCATCTCATTAATTTTACGTTAGTTCAGGTGTGTGCTAGGCCGTGGGAAATGACCAAACGTGCCTTTCTAAAGCCTGCTGTAGGACTGCCTCTGCTCAGGATTGAATGTTGAAAGGTTAACGAAAATTAATTCTTCAGATATTTACAAATGAATATAAAATTGTTAATTATTCTAAAATTGTAGTTAGGGCTGATAAAATACCGGAGAAGGGCCGATCAAGCCAGTTCTCCCACAAGGAAATCGGGTTAAGCCAGTGCTGCCAGTGCTGCCTGGGACACGCACTCACCGGGTCGCTGCTAGGGACCGCGAAGTGTCCCACCAGCCCTCCGACAACGGCGCCGACCAGTAGCGCAGCCGCCACCGACACCGTCAGCTTGATATCCACCATGTTCAGCCCTGCGCGTCACACTGTGCGACAGCGTCAGTCGCACTGGCGCGGCGCCGCACTCGCGCTCCGGAGTCTCCCGGAGGGCCACTCCCATAGCGCGCTACCTACGCACGTCGGCGGCCGCAGCGTTCGTCGGCGTGCCCGTCCGCGCTCAGTGCTGGGCAATGGCGGGCCTGTATCATAAAACACGACGCGCCGGGTACGCTTCGGCCTGGGACTGTGAGCGCGGACAACCGGGCTGGCGGCGCGCGGTCTGTCGGCCGCAGACGGTCAGTGTCAGCAGGCCGCCAATACCGGCCTCGGGCGAGCAAAGCACGCTGGAGGGCCGGACCTCTTTCCGCGGCACGGTCTCTGGAAACATCATTCCTTCGCCGACATCAGCCGATGGCAGGCGTCGAGTGCAGGCTGTTCGTTACCCCACATCTTTTCACATTACTCGTACGTGGTGCCGGTTTACCGGAACTGAACGGATTCGCAGTCGGTGGGTGCTCGACTTCCAGCAAGAGTCTTATCCTCAAATCATTCTCTTGGGTTTTGGCTCCAGACAAGTTCTACATACCAACACAGCATACCTAATCGACGAGTCGTAGTGCTTGTCGCTGGGTTGTCTAAAACTGGAAATGGCGGTTTTGGTCAGGGCAGGACGAGCCCGGCATGCTCTTACCATCTGACGTACAAGTCAGCGTAACTCTGGGAGATGGGAGTTCTGGACCAGGACGAGACGGAATGTCTGTCAGTTGGTCTTACAGGCTAGCGTAACTCTGGAGGATGGGAAATCTGGACCAGGACGAGACGGAATGTCTGTCAGTTGGTCATACAAGCTAGCGTAACTCTGGAGGATGGGAGTTCTGGACCAGGACGAGACGGAATGTCTGTCAGTTGGTCTTACAGGCTAGCGTAACTCTGGAGGATGGGAAATCTGGACCAGGACGAGTCGGAGTGTCTGTCAGTTGGTCTTACAGGCTAGCGTAACTCTGGAGGATGGGAAATCTGGACCAGGACGAGACGGAGTGTCTGTCAGTTAGTCTACAGGCCAGCGTAACCCTGGAGGGTGGGAGCTCTGGACCAGGACGAGACGGAGTGTCTGTCAGTTAGTCTACAGGCCAGCGTAACTCTGAAGGATGGGAGGTCTGGGCCAAGGCTAGACGGGGTGCCTGCCAGTTGACGTACAGACCTGTGTCTCGGGGTACTCCGCGGTGATGCAGCACAAGCAGCAGCACGTCCCTGTCTAGCTGCTGCTAGAGTGTCGCGGTCGTGGCCAGAATCCACCACACTGTGGTACAATCTGTGTTTTTGTTCACGGTATGGTCTGCGTGTAAGCAAAGTCAAATGATCCCCTGTCGGTGATCTAAGGCTCTAAAGGAAACAACCTAACACTGCGTTTTCCAACGATGGGTTGCGTGTCGGATACACTATTGTGCGTTGTAGACGGAAGGTCATCTCTCTCTCTCTCTCTCTCTC